GGAACGGACCGCGGTCCGCGCCGGGGGGTGAACCGGGGTCTGCAGCACCAGGCTCTGCAACCGGGAGTTGCACAGGGAGCCCGCACCGGGAGAGCCTCACCCATGCAGGGACAGTAGAGCAGGTACCCGGCCTCGTCCCAGGCGGGTGCCGCGCCGCCTCCCGCCGGCGCCACCGGGAGCAGCAGGAGCAGGACGAGGAGCGGCGGCGGCCCCGCCATGGCGGCGGGCGGGCGGGCAGAGCGCGGCGCCGCCATCCCGGCATGCCCCGCGGCGCGCCGCCCCGGCGGCCAGCCGCGGGCCGTGACGTCACTCCCAGAAGGCCCCGCGCAATGGCGCCGCCGGGGCCGGGAGCGGAGCCGCGCTTGGCGGGGCCCGGGGGAACGGGGTGAGCGCGGGGGGGCGAGCCTGGGAGGCGGCACCGCAGCGAGGGGCGGCGGCACGGCCGTACCCTCCCCTCGGTGGCGGGGTCCCCTCAGGGGACAGGGGGGCGTGTGAGGAGGAGGAGGATGCGGGACGTAGGGGGGGGGGCGTAGGCCGGGCCCGCCTCCCTGCCCTCAGGGCTGCGGGATGTGTGATCCCGCTCCACCGGGGCTGCATTCTCCACCGAGCGCTCCCGGGGGTGCGGGTCGTCCGGTTGGCTTCCCAGGCGAGCGGCGGAGGTGCCGGAGGGAAGAGCGAGTTGCCCCTCGCGGCCACCCCCCGGCACCTCCGCCGGTTGAAGCAGCACCTCTGAATTCCCTAAAATTCCGGCGTGATCGTTTATGCACCTTGCTGTTAAAAACATCAACATTCGAACTCTTGTCTTCTTCCAGGTAGTTCTGAAACTGGCCCAGATGGCCAAGCTTTTTCGGAGGGAAAGGAGCAGTTCCCTGGTGAAAGTGGTGGAGACTCTCGGGATACCTGCACAGCTCTGGAGCAAGAGGTAGAGAACACTGATCTTTTCTGGGACATATTTCATAGAGAGGTGAAATAGTCATGCTTTTAGCACACAGAAATTTTTAGCACACAGACTGCTCTGAACCACAGGCCTCCTGCACCCTGAGGGGTCAGAGCAGCTGTCACACCACGCTGGTTTGTCCCAAAGTGGCACCTCAGCAGTTCTGGTCCTTTATTGTTCTGCTCTGACCACGTCGATTTAGCCTGCACAAAATCAAGTTTTTTTTCTTAACAGGCATTCCCACAGCTCACAGTGATAGGTTTTCTTAGAGTCATCCTGTTTCCCAGTGTTTTCCACCCTGAGGGAGCCATCCAGGGTATTTGGGGTGATGGTGCAGTCACAGTAATTGTTATTTCAGCTCTTCGTAACGTTCCTTGTGCACTTTCTCGGGGGTTGGTTTGTTCCCTCGCAGTTGCACATCCTGCCCACAACTCACAGTCATGTTGATGTGCAGCAGGAAGTTCCTCCTCTGAAGCAATCATGGAGTGAGGGTTTGATGCTATTTTAAGTAGAGTTTCTCAGGCGGCCAAATTGAGTGAAAGAAGTTGGTTTTATTTCAGCTGACCGTTTACCAGTCAAGCTGGCAGTAAAACCCTATAAAAACCAACACACAACTCAAGAGCAACCTGCTAAGAGAGATTATTGCAGCACCTCCTCAACATGAAAGCCAGAAAAGCTTACAGGAGGTGTATTTTGTTGAACAGGAAACAGTTTGAGCTTCCTTTATTAATGGATGAGAGCGTCAAAGTTAAAAAAAAAAGTGTTAAAATTGCTCATTACGGTAGAAAACTTGCTGATCCAGAGAGGCAGAATCTGCCTCACAATCGAAAGTGAAAATACAATGAGTAATCCCACCCTGAAGAGGAGCAGCCTTCCAGAAAAAGGTGTGATGTTGATGATAATTGTGAGTTTTCTTCCTCAGCCCTGTTCAGCCACATGTGGGGGTTCAGAATGATTTGCTCTGGAGATGGTTTTGCCCAGTGCACCAGGTTGGTAGCAGAAAGGATGGGAAAAGAAAATACAAGAGAACCATGGTTTGTGTGAGAATCTCTGAGAGGGAATTCCATGTAGGCAGAGACCAAGAGCAAGTGAGAATATAAAAACTGGGATGAGAAATGATCTGCAAATCACACAGGGAAAGGTATTTAGAGCTACAGAGAGACACCTTTTATGATATTTCAGGAGAAAAGACATCCAAGACGTAACACTGGCTCATAATAGTGGAAAAAAAATGCAATTCAGGAAAAGTTTAACATAATTTTATTCAGGTAGCAGGTTAAGGGGGAAGAGACAGAAAAATATTATTGCTTGGAGGTCCCAATATTATCCCAAAATTTTACTGATTGATTGGGAACACACGTCTTCACACGTTCATTGTGTACACAGGTGAAGGTTGCAGTATCTTACCACCAGCCTTCTGTGATTTCAGATGAAGAAGTTTTGCTATTAAAGCAGTTTGGTCACAGGAGGCTCCAGCAGAAAACTGCACCAGGACAACATCACAGCGAGACACCCACAGGCTCGAGTTCTGCTTGACATGGCCATGTTCTACTAGACCTGCCATGACGGCATTTTTTCCCAGTGTTCCCAACTGGATTCAAGATGCAAAGCAGGAGGAGGAAGAGACAGGCTGGAAATTAGTCCCCAGACCAAGAGGTGAAGAAACCGAAAGTCAGGGAAAATGCCAGTGTGAACTATCAGAGCCCTCCTTCCCTCACGGGGACAAGCTGAGAACTCACACACTTTCCCATTCGGAGCAGAGGCCCTACAACTGCCCCCAGCTGCACTGTGGCAAGGCCTTTGCCTCCAAGTACAAGCTCTATAGGTAGGTATCTCTAAGTGCCTCTGCTCAGAAGTGCCAGAAGAGAGGGGAAATCCCCTCCCTCATGTGTCTTTGCTTGAATTTCTGAGAAGCTGGAGGAGGGGAAATGCCCTTTTACCTTGCAAAGCGGTTGAGTCCTAGACATTACCGTACTTGGCATCTCTTTAGGTGCCTTCCAGAGAACTTCAGCTAATGCTATATCCTGAGCTCATGCTGTTTTATGTTTCACTGAGGAGGAAACAGAAACAGAAAGTGAAGTTCACAGATTAAAAAACAAAATGAAAAGCAAGAATGGCGTTTGCATTCATAAATCCTACTTCTAACCACAGGGATAATTCCATGGCAGCTGTTGCTCCAGTATGGAGAAGTTGAGTTCTCATTTATGTAGTGAAGTACAACACAAAAATAATTAAACAGTGATAGCTGAGAACTTGAAACCAGGTGAACCACAGTGTGGGAGAGTATGAGATACTAAGGTGGAACACTGTGGACAGACCACAGTGGCTGTCAGCAGACTTGGGCACAGCCTGATCCCCCTGATGAACTGAAGTTTTCTCACCTAGTGTCACAAACTAGGGAGGTTTTCTTTGTCAGCCTCAGCAGAGAGCAGGAGCTGAGGAGAGACAGCTGCTGGGACAGACTGTAGGTTTTGCCTGAAGCATTGTGCTCCTTGTTTAATGGAGGTAAATCTGGGATTTTTGTGGCATAAAGTGTAGGAGACAAGGAAAATGTTGGAAAACTAGCATGTGTTCCCTCAGGGGCTGGATATTTGTCTGACCTTCCCTGCTTTCCTCCCCTCAGGCATATGGCCACGCACTCTGCTCAGAAGCCCCACCAGTGCATGTACTGCGAGAAGATGTTCCACCGCAAGGATCACCTTCGGAACCATCTGCAGACCCACGATCCCAACAAGGAGGCCCTGCACTGTCCCGAGTGCGGCAAGAACTACAACACCAAACTGGGCTTCAGGCGACACCTGGCCATGCATGCGGCTGCCAGCGGGGACCTCAGCTGCAAGGTGTGCCTCCAGACCTTCGAGAGCACCCAGGTCCTGCTGGAGCACCTCAAAGCTCATTCCAGGCGGGCTTCCGGCGGGGCGAAGGAGAAGAAGCACCCGTGCGACCACTGTGATCGGCGCTTCTACACCCGCAAGGACGTGCGGAGACACCTGGTCGTGCACACGGGGCGGAAGGACTTCTTGTGCCAGTACTGTGCTCAGAGGTTTGGGAGGAAAGACCACTTGACCAGGCACATGAAGAAAAGCCACTCCCAGGAACTGCTGAAGATTAAGACGGAGCCAGTGGACATGTTGGGTCTGCTCAGCTGCAGCTCCTCTGTGGCAGTGAAGGAAGAGCTGAGTCCTGTCCTGTGTATGGCATCCAGAGACATGATGGGTGGTAAGAGCTTCCCTGGCATGCTGCCCGTGGGCATGTACAGCACACATCTCCAAACCATGCCAAGCTCAGGGATGCCCCATTCTTTGGTTCCTAATTCTCTTCCAATGGGAATGAGCTATCCTCTGGAGTCTTCTTCTCCCATCTCCTCTCCACCGCAACCTCCTCCAAAGTATCAGCTTGGATCTACCTCATATTTGCCTGAGAAACTACCCAAAGTAGAGGTGGACAGCTTTTTGTCAGACTTCCCTGGCAGTCTGTCTCTCTCATCTGGTGATCCTCAGTCCTCTTCGCCTCAGCCACCCGCCCTGGATGAGGCTTTGCTTTCCAAGAGCCCTGCTAACCTCTCAGAGGCTCTCTGTGCTGCTAACATGGACTTTTCTCATCTTCTTGGCTTCCTTCCCCTAAATCTTCCTCCTTGCAATCCACCTGTCTCATCGGGGGGATTGGTCATGGGCTACTCGCAGGGGGAGGCGCAGCCACTGCTCACCACTTTGCAACATCAACCTCAAGAGTCTCCCGGAGCCGGGGCCTCGCTGAACTTTGGGCCCCTTCATTCATTGCCCCCCGTCTTCACCTCCAGCTTGAGCACAACCACGCTGCCACGGTTCCACCAGGCATTCCAATAAGCTGGAAATAGCACTGGAGAACAGATCTTTCAGTCACCCTTTTGTGGAGAGCCTTAAAAACGCACAACTCTTCCTTCCTTGGGGGTGTGAAAGCTCTGGCAGAGCTGGGTCAGACAGGAGGTTTCTGATCTCGGAGGGAGCACTTGTAGACTGGAACCTGTGCAAGTCCCAGTCCTGTACAGCAAAAAGATTACAGCTGATAGACTGGATATATTTTATCTAATTTTTAATCTGTGAATCAGGAGCCGCGCTTAGCACTGACCTTCCCTGAGAATGCTGGAGCTGTATTCCTCTCTGGGAAGGGACTGTCCCTCAGAAGGAGTTGAGACTCTTTCATCCTGGGCTAAACTTTTGAAGAGTCCAGCTTCCATTTCATGTTACCACACTGCAATTCTGGCAAACCAGCCAACACCTCCACATGGAGAAGAAGTCAGGATACCACTCTGTATGAAGCCAATGGGGAAGAGGCTGT